CCGTAAACCCCAAAATATTTTCAAAAATCCGCTACAAATTTGTTACAGGACAACACATCAAAATGCATAAGCGCCACTTAGTGAGTAAAAAATGTTATTAAGAATTTACGTCGCAAAAAATGCTTTTTAATTTCTTCAATATCTTGGTTGGGTAGCACTCGAACAAAATGCAAGAGATTATTTAAATAATAATAATTAAATTTTTTATACCATCGCAACAATTTTTTTTCGGGGTGTTTGTGTGCTTTCATTGTTAAATTTCTGTGTGCTATTAAGGTGTAAACCACATTAGGATTATGAGGCAGATTTTCAGGCACTTCTCATGAATTTTTTTGAGTGGGACAAATTGATTAGAATTCGATCTAATTTTGACAATATTTTATCAATATTTTGGGCCCCATTTACAAATGTTTTCAAGTCATTTGTGTTGGAAATACCAAGATTATTATGGGCTGGGTCGCAATTTTGATCTGAAAGCAAATAGTTATTTACACCATAAAGGAGGCAAATATTTACCAGTCGAGACTGGTAAATTATACTTAACTGCTGTGTGGTGTATAACATTTTATCTGCTCCCACAGGTTCATGAAATAAAGATTAGGTTTTATTTTTTTGGCATTTCTTAATCAATTCATTTTGACATTGGTTGTTCGCCTTGGTTGTTTGGATTTTGTCGTTTCTAAGGTACATACAGAAATTTCAAAGAATGGTGCCAGGACAAAAATACTGGACTATATTGAATTGTGGAATGGATACTCAATGATTAAGTCAACTATTTTCATAGAGGAGAACGTGGATATATCAAAATACCCCAAGCTGAGAACATTTTTGAAACGTAAGAATGGCGGCTATGCACCTAAAATGTAAAACGTTTTTACAAGTCAACGAATTTCTCGTTCAGGCACCCGATAACACATTTTTGCTAATGAAGGTAGTGACGATCTTAGGCATTGCATGCCGTTCCGATAAGTCATGCAACTTACTTTGGACGTCAATTTAAAAAATTTCGATGACATTATTGTAGTTACAATTCCAGATTCTAAAACTGGTATGTCACGTACATTTTCCAGTCATTGAAGCTGAAAATCAGCTGTAAGCTTCGAATTCTTTGAAACTCCATGGATTTGCATGAAAATTTAGAATAAGGCTCATCTTAGGTTCAAATGTGACATAAGCCCGATTGACGCTTTTTGTTTTTTAGGGGTAATAACTACCCCTAAGTGAAAAAAATTGAAAAAATTAAGTTTTAAGCATTTTATTGATAAAAATCTTGTTCAAGCACAAAGATTAAATAATGTTCCATGTTCTCGAACATGTTTTATGATATATTTGATCTTTTCGACCCTTTATTTAACCCTTAAAAACTACCCCTATGCAGAAAATGATGATAAAAAATTACTTTTTAAAGATTTGGAATAATTAAATCGTGCAATTATTTAAAATAAAAGTTACTTATAGCTAATAAAATAATTTTCCCCTTTAACCCTTAAAAACCACCCTTGTATTGACAGAAATGATAAACAATTACTTTTTAAAAGCTTGGAATGCTTTAACGGCGCAATTCTTTAAAACAAAAATTCCCTGATTGCTTATGAAAGAATTTGTATCTCGTAACACATTTCAACCCTTATAAATCACCCCTGTGCTAAAAAAATTATAAAAAATTACGTTTTAAACCTTGAAATGCTATAATTGTGCAATAATTTAAAATAAAAATTCCCTTCTATTGTTTATGAAAGAATATTTTACCTTTGCCATTTTCAACTCTTATAAACTACCCTTTTACCAATATTAATGTAAAATATTTTTATTATAATCGATTTTTAAATATAATCAATCATAAAAAAATTGCTACGCTGCATATAAATAATCACACTAAATTTTTTTACTTATTTTATTTGTATAATATAATAT